ATGGGTAAATAGCAGGACAGACTGTGTTCTATAGCCTTGGATGGCAACTGGTCTAGGAGAAGGAAAACTCTGAATTCAAAACTGGTCTAGGAGAAGGAAAACTCTAAATTCAAAACCTTGTGGCACGTAGTGCACCAGGTCTCTGTAATCGGCCCTTCAAAAAGTGTGGATGGTCCTGCACGAAACCTTCACTACTATAATCAAATCTCATGTGCTATACATGCGGGTTTGGGGACTGCTTGTGAATTCCAAATTCCCATGAAACCGGCTTGAAGCCGGCTCAACCCACCCCGGGTGGATACCGTTACAAGAACAAGAGAAGAACAAGGGTATATGCGCTTAAATGAATGTAATGAACTGCAATTCGAGCACAGCTCTCTAATTTCACATTATGTGCCAATATCTATTACACCACTGCGCATCCATGTTACTATTTTCCTCGATTGCATGAATTTAAGCGTGCTAATATGTTGGCATCTCGATCACACCCTTTACAAACAGTTAAATGTAACCGTCTCTTCTACTCCAGCAGATTTTCTCTCGATCTCCCGACAGTGGAACTCCCTTCCTCTTACTTGCTTCCTTGACAACTTCAAATAATCTTATTTAAATGTAATGTCAATCGACATCTTCTGGTGACTTGATCCCCGTTCTTTTTTATTCTCAATCATCCCTATACTCAGTCTTTTCTCAAACTTTCACTCTCTGTTACCCCTTGCATACTAGTGATACTCCCGCCGAGAAAAGAAAGAAAATAACTTACTTTATTCTCGAGAGTGCTGCTATCGATTCTTACCAAAATATAAATCTGCGTCCCGGATTTTTTTTCTCCAATATCTCCATTCCTGAAAGAATTACTCCTTTTCCCAAGCCAAGTTACATGACGACAAAAATGTTAAAAAAATAAAAGAAAACTGTTAAACCCATTACTTCATTTTATTTAAAATATATAACACATAAATTAACCCCAAACCAAATTTAATCTAAATACACAAAAACAAAATTCTAAAACATCACTTACTCACTTTCGTTTATTGTATCACTCTGTCTTCTCCGGTAGTAAAATCCTTATATTTGCCGCAGTAAAGTTCCACAGAGGACGAAACCTCTTGGCTAAGATAAATTTTCCTTTTGTCATTCTTTATGCATATTGTCCTTTTACAGATATACACTACTGAAAGTTTTATACACAGACACACACACAGACACAGACACACACACACACACACACACATATGATGTGTGTGTGTGTGTGTGTGTGTGTTATGTTATGACGGACCATACCTAAAAACACACGTAAACCAAAAGATATCTTATTCCTAAAATTTCGCTTGAAGATGAAACGAGACTAAACACCTCAATTCAACTTAATTTTGATAATTATTTGGATGATTTCGGCTCTCGTTTCTGAAACATGAGAACTCTTATGTAGCGAAGGAATCATATTTTTAAACAAAAATATTATTATAATAAAGCTCTACTTCTGTATGGGAGTACTGTCTTCTTAAAAAATAAAAAACAAAATACTAAGGAACTCCGGATTATGCACCCACCGTGTTCTTTTTTCTTTTCTTGTATACCTGCGCACTTATATATATATATATATATATATATATATATATATATATATATTAATCATTTCGCCCCAAGAAATGTGATAATGCCACTAAGACGCAAGAAGCTACTGGGAGTGAGAGACAATGTAAACACTTTAGAGGGAACCTAAAACCCAGTCCTAAACAGGAAATAAAGGATAAATCTCTATTCTTGTTCAAAAGACTGTGGAAGATAATGAACCGGGCGATAGGCGAACCTATATGCTCCTATTGGAGAAAAAATAAATAATTATATTGTAAATAAAATGTGTGTATATGTGTGTGTAAGAGAAAGGGGGGGGATTAAATTTAATTGTTCGTTATGTTAGTAGCTATCCCACAAAAGAAGATCTGCCAGGAATAGTGAGATCTTCTATCATTACAATGTGGAATAGCTACTAACAAAAGTGATGGAAAGAAAAAAAAACACTCTAAATGAATCCGGCTAATTCATGTAAAAATATGTAAAAAAGATGTAAAAAAGATCTAACAAATTAATAAAATATTTTTTTTTAATGCTCAAGTAAACTTTTTCCCAGTTAGTCATTCAATTTGCCGAATATTCTTCTTGATATATAAAAATATATATCGGTACCTCATATATATATGCACTTTCATGGATTGTTCCTTATACAAATTTAAGACTCCATGCCAAATTTGAAGTTGATAGGTCGAAGCTTAGTCTGATATATTTGCAAATGAAATTTAAAAAATTACGTATGTTGTGTTGGTGTAGTGTAATTTACTTTTTACAAATATTCAATGTTTATATTCTATTTTGTTCAATCACTTTCTCTTATCTTATTAGATTAACTGTTCCATTTTCTATTGATATGGCTACCGTATTAACGAGAGCAGCCACAGATCATGCATTGTTAGCCTCTGTAAATGTTCTTCTAGTGGAC